AACCAGAGTACAGAGGGTCTAAAACAGAAACTGCCCAACGCCAGCCACCCATCAGAGGACTTATGGATGACATAACAGTCACCACAGAGTCAGTCCCAGGATGACACTGGATCCTTCAGGGGCCTGAAAAGCTGATGGGGTGCAGATGGAGGTCAAGCTGCCAAATCTAGATCAATGGTGCTGAGGAGAAGGAAGGTGGATGACGGTTCAGTATCGGAGATACTAACATCCCAACCATCACAGGGAAGCCTGTTAGGAGACAAAATGTATGGCAGCATCCTGAAGGACACAACAGCCATCAAGTCGGCTGCACTGAGTTGGATGGCTGGCTGAGATCAGTGGACCGGACTGACCAACTGGGGTAATTTAAAGCAGGGCTGTACCAGCATGTCATTCCTCCAAGAGTCCTGTGTCCACTCCTGGTTTGCCAAGTGTGAATCTCGACAGTGGAAACCTTGGAGCAGAAAGTCAGCAGCACCTCCGGAGCCTGAGCAGCACGGCTCTCTATGGTCATCAAGACAACCTGTGACTGTCACTCAAGTCCTTGGAGGAGGAGTTCAAGGTTACAAGAGCTGGGAAAGTGTCGCTGTACAGAGGGTCAAGCGATCTGAAGGTGGCCAGAGCTGGGATAATGGTGAGGACTGGCAGGAAGTGGAGGGCGGAGGAAGCTGTTTTGCAAGCCGAGTTTAAGGCTGTGTCACAAGATAATGGTACACTGTAAAACCTGACTAGTTAGTTCAACTCAAACTGTTTGAGGAAACCGATTGCAAGTTTATGAATTCAAAAAATTAAAGTAAGGATATTTTTTGTATTGAGTGAAAGTAACTCAAGTATTTATAATTTAAGCAACTTAGTTAAATCAAGTTAAGAGCATCAGCTGCATTCATTAGTTTGATTTAAATGACTTGAGTAACAATAACTTAAATGCATCCTCCTTATGTAGATGCTACTATTTAAGTTTTATTTATTTTACGATTTATTATTACATTCTAGTTGCAACAACTTTTAACCTAGGTGTGGTTACTCAGTTAATATTTAAGGAAACTCATTGCCTTGAACCTTAAGAAGTACTGTTAGGTTTTACAGTGATAGGAGTGGTGATGCAAGGCTGAGCTGGACTAGGATCCTTTTCAACATCCCACCTTAATCACCAAAGGGAAGGAGGAAAACTTCCTGGTCCAGCATGAAGTGAGAGCAGCAGTGAAAGAGGAGAGATTTTGCTGGATGGTGGGAATGAGGCAACAGGGGGTTTAGTCAAGATGGGAAAATACGGTAGAGAGGAAGGTGACCTGGGCTG